CACTACAGGGATAATGAAAGTACTATGAAAAAAAACAAAATAAAATAAAATCTTGTGTTCACATTCATATACGCAGACACGTAACCTGACCCAACAATAGCATTGAGCTGTGGGAGCAGGAATCACACCGCCAATTTGTGAGTCACTGGATTTGCCAGGTCAACCAAAGATATTTATGTCGAGAGTGCGTTTCGAACTGCCAACCTTCAAATCAGTGGACAATCGCTCTATCAACTCAGCTACTGTCGCCCAAACTACACCTCGATAGATCTGGTTTAGTTCTTGTTCAGCCGTAGATTCAACCCAACAAATGTAGGACCATAAAGCGGACCAGCTGAGTGAGAAGCCTAGCAAGACTGGCACCACCTAGTGTCTCCGCTCGGTTTCATTTCTCTCCAGTGACTAGGTCAGGAATCAAAATACACTAGACGGTTTGCAAAAACCCCGGAAGTGCGAGTTCAGGCACCAGCCTATCAGCGAAGAGTGATACATTCTGTGTTGACAACAACTCCCGAGATCGAGTATTTAAAGACAGAACAAAGAGAATGTTTGGTGAATTTCAAGAGGAAAGACGTTATTACCTTTCTTCCTATATGATTTGGGAAAAGCTTAATATACCAGTTAGTCCCATTTGCGGCGAATTACTATGTCACGACCAAATAGCAGCGATTGGTTAAATGAAAAAAGTACCCAAGTACCACTGAGCGAATTCTAACGCTGCGAGGTCAAACGGTTTCTACGAAGTGAAAGCGACTGAATCAGGCTACGAGAAGCCTGTTGTATTTTAAAATCAACACAATGATCTATTTGCTTTTCTGAGGTCATCGTATGTCAACAACGTCTGTTAAACCGTCTCTTGGGGGGTGATTCCGTTGCTCAAATAAAAGCAGTCCAAGCCCCCTGTAGTTCATATTTGCTTAGCTAATGTCAGTCCTCAAGCAATAGTTTCATATCAAACCTTCAACTACAATGACTTCCATATGTCTGCGCATTTGTGGTCACGTCGTCATAATATTGTGGCTGCTTTGGACATGTTAGGATAGGTACGATTTCAATAGTACACGCAGAAGTAGAATACCACACCTTGTAATGATAAGCTGAGTGCATTCCATAACCTCCCTGACATAGTCTTTATTGTTCATTAGCGCGTGATAATTCCATTAAGCTAACCCACGTGAAAAGTGCTTGCAGCGTGATAAGGCTCCCGCTAATTTATGCCATATGCAAATGAGCAGAGTAGAAATAATTATCGTGACTCCCACTCATTTGTCGTACGCATCGCCCGAGGATGTTTAGTTTTAATACAACTCTCTTTGTGTGTTAGTGGAAGGGGCAGGAACAGCTTTGTAGAGTCAACTGTTTGGTATGTTGGATTTTCAAAAGGCGACTGAGTAAAGTTGTGTCCTTGAGCAAGACAATTATGTGTTTATGTGATTGGGGAGATATATAATAATCATTTTGCTGCATTATGAAACTTTTCTGGAGAAGGTCTCTGCCGACAGACCATTAAACTTCAATCGATCTCCATGGAGACAAGCAGGTGATGGCAGCAGGCTACGCTACAGGTCAGATCTGTGGAGAGGTGACCCTGCTCACAATAAGAATGCATGTTTTTTTCTTTTATTTTCATGTTTTTAAATGATAAAAACCTGTAACTGACAAAAAGCAAGATAGATAATTTAATGCCAGACTATGGAACACCCCAGGCATTGCAACAACATCTCCATGGAAACAAGCAAATGACAGACCCTCAGTTAAAAAGTGACATAGGGCACCTCTAAAGGTCCTATATTACACAAAACCGTCTCTTGTGAAGTTTAAAGCTACGTTTATATGATGACGGTCTGAACAGAAGATGCAAAAGTGGCGTTGCGTCTTCACTTTTTATTCCGTGTTTAGATGAGCGTTTATGGGAGGAAACTTACGTGCATACGGTGATGCAAAAGTGTGTGGAATTCGATTGGGTATGCATGCCAGGTTTCTGTGTACTGTATGTATGTGACGTAAACGTGTAGGTGACATGAGCACATCTGAGCAGAGTTTTGCGTCTTGGGCAGTGTAGAGGGAAACACTACAGCGGAGCATATTCAACTTTTCCACTCTGGAGGGTGGTTTCAGATTTTTGCGTTTTTAAGCCCCAAAAACACTGTCACCGTCTAAACGAAAGGCACTTCTGATCAAATATTTTGTTGTTTTTACCCGCAAGCTTTCTCGTATAAACAGGCCCTAAACTACGTTATAAAGTTCCCTCCTCAAAAAACACCTGGAGTTGTGTTTCATTTCACTCTTTCCCACTCTTTCTCACTGACAAAATTTCAAAACTTTTCCACGACTTTTTCATAACCTAAAGTGAATTTTCCATGACTCTACGGCACCTACATGTGTAGAACTAATCAGACTTTTAGAGTTAAATACGAAATGTTAACCCTTTCCACTCCCCTTATGGTTTGGGATTATAGTTTTTTAACCTTCAAAATCCTGTCAGTGCATTTATTGTCGTCTCTTAAAAAAAAAAAAAAAAGGCGCAGACGTTCAGAAATAATGATAATAGCCTAATGAGGACTTAACAGAACGCTGAAGTTGTGAGAAAAAGATACTAAAATTCCATGACTTTTCCAAAATTTTCATTGAATTTCCAAAATTCCATGACTGTAATCTGTCTACATCTCCAAAACTCAAAATGCTCTTGTGGTGATCCATCTTGTGATGTCATGAACTGGTCATTTTCAAGTTAAGAGCTACATTTTACTTTAAGTTCAGTAGAGATTGGCAATTCTAGACTCCAAATTAGGCGTCTGGTGAAGGGGTATAGAGTTTAAAAACACAGTGAAGCACTTGTATTACATGACATCACAAGGTGGAACAAAGTGCTTTCCATTTGAGAGAATAAAACACTCTAAATATTCAGCATTTGTGTGTTAATTGTGTGAACCAAACAGAACACAACTCCAGGTCTGTTTGTGATGAGGAAACAACATTGAGAACAGATCAGAAAATAGCGTAATATGGCCCTTTAAGATCAGATACACTAGTGCGTGAACAACATCTCAATCCGCCGGGTTAAAGCAACAACAGCATAACTACAACTGACTAGCTGTAAACACCCATCTGTTCTGTCTTCCTGGTTGTGTTCACGCCCCAAACCAAATGTCTCCTGCCCTGGACTCTATCTAGTTAACCAACGCTGAGCACTGCCGTATCACTCCCGCTGCGAAATAATGAATAAAACATGCTGGCCTTATTTAAAGCAATCTGTCTGAGAAGTGCCAGAGGGGCTGGAGGTCAAATCCTGCCTCCCCATCCCCGTCAGCCCCTCTCCCCCCACGCTAAGGTTCAAGGAGAGGGGTCCCTGATTAGCAAGCGCGCGCTCTAAACCCGTTCATTAGCTAAAGCGCCGGCGTCTGGCTCTCCGGGCTAACGGCGCTGTTGTCGGGTGCATACCTGAGCGCGTCTCCCAGGCCCTTAAGCACGACTTTGCTACTTTTGTCCTTGTTCTTGTCTCGTAGTTGTGCAGTTGGAGAGCAGAAGCAAGAGAAAAGGTGAAAAAAAATCATGGTTTTTGTGGTATTTTTTTGGTTAACCTGGTACGCTAGGATGACTTTTTATTTTATTATTTTTCAAGTTTTATCTGTGTTATGAAATTTTTGCTTGTTGCTTGTCAGTAAATGTTAAAAGTTGCACAGTGTAACTTTTCTAGTAGGGGCGTCTCTATGGAGATGTTATCGGATTTCATGGAATGTTTTACAATACGACATTATGGCACACACATATCTCCATAGACACAAGCAGGTGACGCCTCCAAGTCAAGTTACATGCCAGATCTGCAGAGAGGCGATCCCACTCAAAGTAAGAATCCATGATTGTTAAGGTAAGCAATAAAGACACCTGTAAATTCGTAAATGTAAGACAGATACATCTAATGCCTTACAGTGGAGCATTCCTGGTAATGCAATAAGATAACCACAGAGATATTCAGATGGCGCAACCCTCTAGAAAAGTTACACAGTGCAACTTTAAAGACCTGTCCATGATTTTTACTGTCTTAGGGTGTTTTCACACTGACAGCACCAAATATTCCATTTGAACCAAACAAAGACCTTTTAGTTTGGTTTGTTTTCGTTGGTGTGAAAGCATCAATTGCACTTGGATCTGCACTAAATCAAGTGGACCGAGACCTCAAAAAAAATAGGTGGTCTTGGTCCGCTTCACTCCACAGCAAATACCAAACTCTGGTGCGGTTGGTCCCTCTGGTGTGAACGCAAACTCAGGTCCAAACCACAGACAGTAGGTCCAAACCAACTATTCAAAATACATCATGGAAGGGCAGGCTCGGATTCCTGAATTGAGTAATCGGGGGGGATAGGGACCGGGCCACACCGTCCGTACCCCGTGGAGGGGGCTCCGTAGGAAGACCACTGGGCAAGATGGTGCATCTGGCGTGCGGGAGAGCCTCAGCATCCCCAAGCCATGTGCAGTCATACCCGCTGTGTGCAGGAGCCTTGGATATACGTCAATCGGACTAATTTTGGTTGGTCTGCAGGTCTGAAAGCGGACCACACTGGAGTCTATATGCTACAGAATAACATTTTTATTGCCTGGGGCAGACAAAATAATCAAATTAGCGGTGTGAAAGCGCTCTTAAGAACATCAAAAACAGAACTAGTTCATTTCAAACATTTGCTGTGGTCCAAATGTTATTCTCTCACTCACCTTATGCATTCAGAATATCCTAACTAATCACTTTGACAAGTTTACTAGTGCCTTTTACAACTCTCAGAAACCAGAGCGGAGTTTAACCATGACTCTAAAGCTAACAACAACTAGCTTGCTGACCATGCACTTCCTGATTCTCGGGCAATAAAACACTTTACAGTTAGATGCAGACTGATTTGGGTACAGGGCCTTTAACAGTTATTCAAGACAGAAAAAGTGAAAGACCAATTCTAAGCGATCCAGAGCATTGCCAGATATCACGTAATATGGACGAAGATTCCACCTACCTGAACATCTCTCCTAGGCCCTTGAGGACTCCCTTCTTGGGTTTGCCCTTGTCCTTGGCCTCCTCGGGCTTCTTCTTCTTCACTTCGGTCTTGATGGGGCTGATCCTCTCTCGTTCTCTGCTTCGGTCTTCTCTGGAGGCGCTGCTCAGATCTCCACTGGTCGAGATGGACTCCAGGCCCGAACGGTAGCTGCCCTCCGTGTCCTCGTCCACTGCAATAGAGAAAGAGAAAAGATGAGAATAATTGAGCTCAAACAAAGATTTAAGGATGGTTGAATAAAATATTGAAAAGACGTAGCCCCTGATTGTGTGACGGTTATCACGGGTGCCATTTTGGATGTTGGGCTGGGAAAGACAAATGTGGTCAATGTTAGTTCCAGGTAACACTGCACGACAAAGCAATAACATCTCCACTGACACAAGCTGATAATTAAACTTAAATAATTAAATAAACATTAGCCTACATAGTTTATCTTTTAGGAACAGACCTTATGCAGTATTTGTATTGCTGCTACCCTGTTTAAATGTACTTCTAGAGCAGTGGTGCCCAATACGTCGATCGCGATGTACCAGTCGACCGCCAAGGTAGCGTGGGTAGATCGCAGTGTCGTTGTACTCGTCTCGGACACGATCACGTTTGGGAGTGTGCGGGGCGTCTCATTGCAGCCCGTGCACTCATTTGGAACCCGTGGCTAATGTGCAGCACATCACAAACGCAAACTCTCCCTGCGTGTAGCTTTTCCGCAACAGCGTGTGCCCTCGTGTACCAGCGTGTATCACAGGGCAGGTAAAACTTTTTAAAACATCCTACCTGTCCATCTACCTCACGTTAGCGCGCCGCTCATCGCCTTTTCACGGTCTCGCTCCTCCCCGTGTACAGCGCACAGGCTGCTTCCACAATGCGCACTGATTAGAAGAACAAGACAAAATGCGAAGCAAAAACTAATCTAAATGTATGTTACAGTGCTGGCACCGAGGATGTCTACAGCACAGAACAGACCCACCCCGACATGTGGCTGAAGTTTGCCTAATAAAAGTGCACAAATGCATCTGTGTTTGTCACGATGTGCATTTGGTTTGGTAAATGTGCAGAGGCTAAAATCCCACTGCAAAACCAATAAGAGAATGAAACTCCAGTTAGGAACTTGAAAAAACAGGTTTAAAAATCCTATCCACTTTCTTCACTTTTTTCACAATTTTCTGTTAAGTGCCAGTGGAAGTTCTCTTAAAGAAGGGGTTCTTAAACTGTGGGTGAGGGTCCAAAAAAGAGGCGCAGAGTGTTTAAGTGCAGTACAGTTTGCTTGGCTTTGTAGTACGTCGATCATTTTGACTTGGTCATTTTATAAGTAGCTCACATGCTGAAAAAGTGTGGGCACCCTGTTCTAGAGTAAAAAGTAAGAAGCCAAGACTTGAACTCAAAACTTAAGGTAGAATGCCACCATGAATAAGATAAAAATAACCTCTCAAAACACGAAAAGTACTTTTTACTTTTCAGTCCTGTCAATAAATGTTGTAGAGCACAGTGTCCAGCTTTCAAATGTAGTGACGTAAAAGTAAAAAGTATCCATTGTAAAGTGTATTAAGGAAAATACAAATACCTAAAAAACTATATACTATACTAGTTTATATTTATATTTTTGTTTGCTAGAAGTCAGGACTTGAACTCAAAACCAAAACAAGCACCAGATACCACAAAATTGTACTTAGGTATAGTACTTTTACTGTTGCACTTCATTACTCTCCTCCTCTGATCATTCTTCTCTCAAATTACCCATTTTGATCGTTGCACGCTGGCTTTGAAAGGCACACAAAACCAGCTCCTTTTTTGCTAAGTGGAAGCACATTCTTGGTGAAATCTCGCAGGAGCCTCTGTAAATATATGCGGTGCTAATGAGCAGTAGAATGGCGCGTGTTTTGTTCAAAGACGCTGTAGTACCTGGTGGGACGCGAGCTCTTTAAACCGTGCGTCTGATGTGAGGGGAGAAGGAGAACGGGAGCGGCGCTGTGTACGTGATAAAACAGAAGTTGCCGTGGCGATGGTTTCTTGAAGTCGTGCGTGTGATCAGCGGGGAGTCAAGTGGAAGTTTGTTCAGAGTTGTACTTGTTGTAAAATAAAGCACGACGCAAATAGTTCAGACGCATACTAATCGCGTCGGCGGAGAGGAGAGCTGAGGTTATGGCTAAGCAGTAATGTGAGGTAACAAAGTGGCTGAACTTAGAGTTAAAGTAAAAGCATGGAACTTTGTAGAGTTGGTATGTCACTTGCCGGATACGATGGAAATTGAAAGTTAAACCCATACTCTGGAACCTTCTCCATGGAGGTAAAACCTGGGGAATATGATTAGCCCGGCTGGAGCAATTTCATTTCTCTCCAGCGACTAGGTGAAGAATCGGAGTACACTAGATGGTTTGCAAGAACCCCGGCCAATCAGCGAAGAGCTGTGAAGCCATGACGTCAAACTCAAGCGCCTGTCTGGGTCCCTTTTGTTGTACAACACAAGAGTAAACAAAGCGTCAAGATGGATGTAGACGAAGACATACATTTTGTGTGTGCAACGATTCCCGAGATCGAGGATTTAAAGCCGCTGGTGAATTTTTATCAAGGGGAAAGACGTTATTGTCCTTCTTCCTACAGCATTTGGGAAAAGCTTAATATACCAGTTAGCCCCGTTAGCGGCGCATTACATATGTCACAACCAAATAGCAGCGATTGGTGAAACAAAAAAAGTACCTGCCTGCCGCCGAGTGAACGAATCCTAATGCTGTGAGGTCAGACGGTTTCCACGAAGTGATACCGGCTGATGAATCAGGCTAGAATATTATAGCCAGAGGAATAACATTTCCACGGAAACAAGTAGGTAGAGAGTCAGGTTTGTGGAGATGCAAGCCCACTCAAATAAGGATAAGTTATGTGGTGGGGCTTTAAAGAGGTGGCAATTGCATGGTTCCATGGAAAAACAAAGTAAAAGCTACACTCTAGAACCTTCTCCATGAAGATAAACCCCAACCCCCAACCCTAAAATGTTTTATGCCAAACTGTGGAATATTATAGCCCAAGGAACAACATGTCAGTGGAAACAAACAGAAAGAAATAAAACATTTTGAAACTATGTCATGAATAGGGGTGGGTTCATATAAGTTTTTCTTCTTCCCACTCCTTTTTCGAGGAATGTGCTTTTCTGTTGTTTACAATGTATATGTAGCATACATGATTATTGTTTGTCTCTTGGCACAAACTCGAAATAAAAACGAATCAATCAATCGATGAATCAATCAGAGTCAGGTTTGTGGAGATGCAAGCCCACTCACAATAAGGACAAGTTACATCAAGAACTTCCAAGATATAGATCTACAGATATTATGCAAAATTTACTTTCTTTTTGAGCTTTTGAACATATTAGAATATTGTTCCCTGGTGTTGTATTTCACACTAGTTTCAGTAATCCTCTGTAAGAAGTCTTTTGCCTCACAAAAAACATGCAGTATTCGACATTTCTGAGGATTGTGATATCACAGATAGAAGCCCTGCACAGTTTTTAATGACCAGAGTCTTTGTTCAGAGTGTTTTAACCATTCATTGCTGCTGCTTGCCTAAATTAACGTGTTTTGACATGTTCCCCATTACCTAGTTTAATTGTTTTCCACATGGTAATTCCTTCTGTTCCAAATCACGAAATGCAAAAGGTACACAACACTCAACATGTACTTGAATACTTTTACTTAAAAGGCACATATTACACTATTTTCTGATCTATGTTATAATGTTTTCCATCAAAAGCATACATTCACACAAATCCTGCATATTTAAGCTGAGTTCTTGTCACTCTGTTCCACCTTGTGATGTCACGTGGTAATACAGGAAGCGCTCCACTGTGTTTTTAATACAACCCAAGCCCCAGGGTTTCACAATGGCCTCCCATTCAAATCTATGGGCCGAGCTCAATGGTGCATGACTCCAGATTTGCCTTTAGCTTGGCAAGGTACTTCCGGTGGCTGTGGTGCACGTTTCTCCCGCGGGCACACACGAATGCACACGAACGCAAACACGGAGCACGGTCTCATGTGTCATGTGATCGCTTTGACCAATCGGAGCGAGACTAGCTAGAGCGGAGCCGAAGCTAACGATTACAAAGCATTTTTTAAGACAACTGAAAGATTTTGACCTGAGAAAAAGTGTATAATCTAAAAATAGGTAAAAATCGCCACAAAATCTGACATTTTTGAAAGTTGTAGGTGCCTTGTCAGCCGAACACGAGTAGTTTGTGATTACATTGCGCTCTATGAGAGAAATCTTGTCTTGGCCCATGGGATTTTTTTTTCTGTAGTATCAGTGAGTGACCACTACATCAACTGGAGGCAGCTACAAGCAGCAACACCCTGTATCCACTTATTTTAATAGATCCATGACACAACCATACAACTTCACTAGAATCTTCTGGATCATTTAAACACTGGAATGACCAAATAATGACTAAAAGTTCACAAGACTCAATTTTGCGTAGTACCTTTAAGTAGACTTTTGTACATGTTGCTTTTACTTTTACTTGAGTATTGTCTTTGTTCCTGTATCTGTACTTTTACTTCAACACTGCCTGCGTCTTTCAGCAGTAGAAATGATATCCTTTAGAAATGCGGCGCTTTAATTTGCGTCTGAACTCATTTGAGCTTCGATTGAAAACCAGCTCCTCGGTGATGGAGGGTTGATTAAACTCCAGAAGTTTCCATCGCGACTAATCAAAAGTGATGTGTGAAATGTAATTAATCTGTCAGTAATCATACATTTAAATCATGGAGAAAAAGGCCTCCCGGGACGGTAATTACAAGTGTGTATTTTTCAGTTGGAATGGCTCTGCTGAAGGTGGTACATGGTCTTCACATTATAATTGAGCACGGGTTAGTCAAGGTTAATTTTTGGTAATTTGTTTTTTTCACGATTTTGATTAACTTAGAGTCAAGTTGTGGTGAAAGTGTAGTTAAATTATTAGAAACTGTTTATCTTTTTGTGAGATCATATAAAGTATACTACACCACTTCATGGACTTTTTACAATAAGTACAAAGTAAAAGTGTCAAAATTTGGGAAAACTGAGAAAATGGCCCGGTTTTCTTTAACCTTGATGATGTCACTGTATTCTTTCATTTTTCTTTTCATAAATTGCCTATTACTGCGTGTATTCTAATCTAATTTAATACAAAAATAAAAAGATGTTTCC